CACCCACCGCTGATGAACTTAAAGGCTTCTGCCTCATCTTTTTCATGTCTGTGTTTCTTGTTCCTAGCCAAAAGGGCACCAGGCAAGATCTAAGCTTGAATGTACGGGCTTAGCAGATGAAATAAATTGGAGCCCAGGGAAATGAGCTCCTCCACTATTGCTTGGTCAAATCAGAAAGAAAATTAGTCCGGATGCTAATGATGATGTGTTCTCAGCATGCCACGCGGCACAGGATCCACCCTCGCTGAGATGTGAGGAAGCAGGCGCTATTAATAATCGGACAGCCAAATTGGGGGGATGGCAGCCCAGAAAGTTAGCCACGCGGCTGATCATTAAATACTCTAAGACATTTTCCCCATATGTTAATTTAAAAAATCATTACTGAAACGAAGAAATGACACATTTTTATCTTGGTAGAATTACATAGATTAGTTCCTAAGATCTTTCCAATTACTGAATCTTTTTTTTTTTTTTAATTTTTCTTTCAACACAGTATTTCCTTTGTTATATTTGGGATGACATATTTTCAATGTACCTAGGCAAAGGCTCTGCACATAACGAGTTCAACAAATAAAAAGATGCTAACTCAACTGTTAATGAAAAGATGCTCAATTTGACTTTAAACGTCAGATTTTAAAATAGTCACGGATCACTGAAACTATGGTAGCTTATCATTCTTCCGGCTTCAGCATCTTCCTTTTGGGGCGTTTCTTTGTACATACCAAGTATTTCAGGAAGAACATTTTCACTGCTGCTTCCTTTATTCAGCTGCAGGTGGACACTGTTCCTCTCTGCTCAAGTAGGCAAAAAACAATGCATTTCAAGCCGTAATTAAGTTTGAGAAAGGGCCGCCTTTATTACCACTTTGCTCATCCTTCTGTACTAATAACACCAGCCACAACAGGGTCACACACCGAGGTTGTGTAAAGGGTTCCTCTTCTACCTCACCGGCTTTCTTTTTTGTTTTGTTTTGTTTTTTTTTTCAGTGAAATCACCTCCCAGTCTCACTTTCACAACCTGGAGACGTGGACATTCTACAAGTCTCCTTGGGCCTCTTTCATTTCACTTCATTCTCAAATGACGTGGGCCACCACGTTTTAGCTGGGCCTTGGAGAGCTTCATTCAAGGATGCCCAGCGGGAGAGCAGAGCCGATGCCGCTTTTGTCCTTCAACACGCACGTTTCGCACGCGTGTCGGTGCCAGATGCTACCGAAGGTACGCAGGATAACACACCAGACAATTCCCCAGCCCTGAAGAAGCTCAAGTCCTAACCTAGCGGGCTTGTCCGATTCCAAAATGGTGTGGCCTTAATTAGGTTACACGGTGACTGTGCCAGGCCTGATTTTTCTCTCTCTTCCACTCCGAACGTGTAATTCCATGTTCATAGAGAATGTCTCCATGGGGAGGACTCTTTCCAAGTTCCAACGTCTAGATTCAGAAATCACATCCACGTGCCAGGAGCGATCCACCCGTCACCAGCGAGTGCTAACGCTGCTGTCATGCTCCAAAGCCTGCTAAGCCCGTTTCTCTGCATTCTCTCATTTATTTCTCTTAACTATCTCACACCGTGCAAGGCGCTCAGGAATTATGATCCTGTCATGTGGCTCATAAAGGAACAAGTTACTCACAGTGGCTGTGCATCTCAGCGGTTCGTCTGAGAAGTACCAAATGTGCTCCTCTCTCATCTATTTTCTTTAAATAAATTTGACTTCACATTAAATCCCATAGCCTGCTCGGCTAACAGGGAATTCAAACACAGTCACTCCCAAGGTTCCCTGCCTAAAGCCTTGCCAAGAAAACTTCAAGGGATCTGATTCCATCCTTTGGGTTCCAGCATGGTTCAGGGCCATTTGAACAGAGAACCGTTGCTGAGTGGAGGGCATACATTTGATCCTTCAACAAACTCGTTATCAACCTGGCTACACTGATGTGGGTCCCAGAAGATTCTTAATTCCTAGGCCTTTTCCCCCCACTCCTCCAAGGTCATATAAAATTTGTCTTGTTTTTATCTTTTATTAACTTTTTATTCGATTTTTCTCTTTTTTTCCCACCCTTGTGGATACACAGAAAAATCTCCTTAGAAACCTGGCCGTTGGGAAGAATGCTAGGAAAGCAAGGATTCTGAGAGCAAGTTTTCTTCCAGAAAGCCTGTCATGAACTCCTCTGTGGGAAACCTGCTTAGCATTGAATATCTGCTCGAGAATATTTATCAGAGAAAAATAGGGAAATGAGCGTTGCAGAAATTCCTCCGAGGCATGGCTTGCACCAACTGATTGCTTATTATGATGAGTCAGAAATTTAGCGATGCACGTTCCATACTGAGCCTCATTTGTTCCCCCGAAAAGTCTGATGAGGTGAAATCTATTATTGTCCCTATTCCGCAGGTGAGGAGAAGAAAGCACTCGGAAAAGGTTATGCAATGTTTCCAACACAATCGGTAAGAATAGGGCTCAGCAGACACTCGCCCAGGGTGCACTCCTTTCCTTCCTTCCCTCACCCCGTGATGCCAACGTGTCTGCCACTTCTCCCACCCCTGGGGATCTGCTGCAAGCTCCCCACCTCCCGTCTTTGCTCACAGTGCAGCCAAGGCATTCGCCCCCACTCTTTCATCCTGGGCTTTTTTTTTTAAATTCCTTTTTTTGCTGATCCACTTTCTCTGCTTCATGTAAGTGACGTTCTATTTTGCCCTTTTCCTTAGAGAGGATGACCCTGTCTTAGATCAAGTCTTTATGAAGACCAGTGTTTGCCTGGCACTATGTCTCACTGGGCTAACCCTCCTCTTGCAAGCGTTGGGATCCTGTATGAGCGCCGGTTTGTGTCCCAGTGGCTCTGCTTCTCATCCAGCTCCATGTTGTGGCCTGGGAAAGCAGCAGAGGATGGTTCTGGGACCCTGCACCTGTGTGGGAGACCCCAAGGAAGCTCCTGGCTTTGGATGGGCTCAGCTCTGGCCACTGCAGCCATTTGGAGAGTGAACCAGCAGATGTATAATCTTTCTCTGTCTCTCCTCTCAGTAAATCTGATCTTGCCCTTCCAATAAAAAATAAATAAATTTTTTTAGAAAGATAATTGTTTATCTAATATTTAAGTGTGAAGGAAAAAGATTCTTTCTTGTTACCTAGTAGAACAGGAATGCAGTCAAGATGAAGACCTAAATGTTGGCATTCAGTGGGCTCAGGCAGAGCTCCAGGAGCTCGCTTTTAACAATAAATTCAGACTATATCTTGTATAGGGGCCATGATTTGTACATCTGTGATCTTGGTCCTATCTTTTCTCTACATCATTTGTTAATATTTATTTAGGTCAGTGCTGGCTCGTGTACAAAGAACAGACACTCCGGCAAGGTAGCTCAGAAGAACAAGGTCATGTAAAAAAAATATATTAGAGGCGCAGTAGCCTAGTGGCTAAGTCCTCCCCTTGAGCGTGCCAGGATCCCATATGGGCACCGGTTCTAATTCCAGTGGCCCTGCTTCCCATCCAGTTTCCCGACTGTGGCCTTGGAAAACAGTTAAGGACAGCCCAAAGCCTAGGGACCCTGTGCCCGTGTAGGAGAGCTGCAAGAGGCTCCGGGCTCCTGGCTTTGGATCAGCTCAGCTCCGGTCTTTGCAGCCACTTAGGGAGTGAAGCAGTGGACAGAAGCTCTTCCTCTGTCTCTCCTCCTCTATGTATATCTGGCTTTCTGATAAAAATAAAATAAAATAAAATAACTCTTGACAAACATATATTAGGGCCTGGCTACTTGAGAAATGAACAATCTGTAGAGCTGTTTGCTTACTTTTAAGCTCATGAACCCCTCTTTTCCTCTCTGGGGGTTTCATGACATATCTTTGCTCCATCTCATTTCTACAGATCAGTTTCTTCCTGCTTGCACAGGAATTGAGAAGAGTCCCATATTTCACACACACACACACACACACACACACACACACACACACGCTTGATATGCAGTGTTACCCTCATGCTCTCTAATCTCAATATTGCTTACATATCTCCAGCAAGAATCCAAGCAGCCCAGTTCCACCATTCACAGACGAGGCCCCCCGTGCAGTGACCACTGTCCTGCACTCACTTGAGGCTGTGCTGTCTGATGGAGAGCTCTGCAGCCCTGCGATGTGTCCAAGTTAAGTCTGCTGCTGAATCAGGACTTACACGCAGGAGGGAGGTTTTCTAAGGAGACAGCTGTGGGTGGGAAGGCAAACACGACAACTCCCACAGTATCACAGTGGGCAAAATCCTAAGGCTTCCTTTTGCCTTGCCAGTTCTCGACTCCAGACCTCCCGCCTAAGCACAAACTCAGTCTGAATGCTTGTTCTCGGAATTCAGGCTGCCTTGACCTGGCCCTCTTGGGCCTGCCCACGGTCACCCCTTCTGCAGGTGGGTCTCTGTCCCCGCCCAGCACACCACCATCCATCTGCAATATGGTCCCTCCCTTCTGGCTTTCCCATCCTTCCAGAAAGCCCTGACAAGCCTTACCAGGCTCAGGAAAAGCATGCTGCATCTTTCTTAACCACCGAAACACTTCCTATTTGATGATGTATTGAGAATTTCATTACATTTGATGTTTTGTTATCTTCTCTTACAGGCGTCTCACTTTATTTCAACAGACAGAAAGGCTCTGAGGGTAAGGTTTATGTTTCAGACAAGCAGACCTCTCTAGAGGCCAGAAGAGAATGCCACCATGCAACGCGGCCACTAAGGAGTACCTAAAAAAACCTGAGCAGGGTCATTACCCAAGTACACGAAAGTCCTACAGAGTTCACAATACAGTTCAAGTTCAATGCATGTGGATAGACGATTTCGTCTTCATATTTTCATGTTGCTTTTCTACATGGACATTGGCAGAGCTGAATTAAGCGTTCTTTGGTAACCACACAGGACAAAGTGTTGGTGAGCAAGTGTCTGCTAGAGACAGAACTCAGCTCAGATGCGGTTCCTAGGGAGAATTTCCAATGAAAAGAGACACGTGGGAGCACTCCAAAATGAGTTCATTTAAGAGGCATTACCTCATAGCCAAGTAAATGTCCGTTGCTTAACTTCCACGGAACGGTGTCCCACGAGACCTCAATCTCTGAGGAAGACAGGCTATTTGCAGTAACTTGGGATGGGGCTGCCATGGGTTCTGTTTGGAAACAAAAATCAGGCTACATTTATAATCCTGTTGATAAAACGTATGTATGTATTTCTTCTTTTTAAAAGAACATTTTCACATATTTGAAAAAACCTATAAAAGACTCTACAATATTTGCAAACAGGGATCGTATCTTGAACATACGGACACTGGCCTGTTTCTTTAAGACGGGCTGGCATCAGGACCACAGGCCTTTCCTGGTGTGACAGCCAGGGCAATCTGCAGTCTGCTGTCCTGTTATCAACCCCTGTGTCTTTCTTCTCTTGCCTTTGTTCTTTGCCTTGTATTTATTTCCTTACTGTTTAATCCACACCTGCTGCTTGGGAACTCTCCAAGTTCTAAATATTACTATATATATATATATATTTTTTGTCTTGTAATCCAAAGGTCAAAGTGGAGTTCATTTCCTCACCAGGCAGTGACTACCTTCCATGGCCTCGGCCCACAGAAGGGACACCTCCACTGAGATAAGCTGGTAGAGCTCTTTTGATGTGGATACACATGTGTACAGCTCAGTCAACACTCTTGGGGTTTGGGGGTTCACAGTGGATCTCTCTTCTCACAGTAGAGCTCTGGGGAGGAATCTCATCTCCCTCAGGACCCGTTTCTGTAGTAAATGAGCCTACTCTCTGTTGTGCTGATTTACGCTGAGACAGAGCCTTGGTTCAAGGCACTGGAACCCATATTCCAAATCCCTGGAGTTTCATTCCTAGAGTTTCTGGTTAAGGTTCTTCCTGAGGTGTGCTGTTTAACTTTTTCCTTTAATTGCATCAGAGTTCCTTGATTTCCAATACCTCCCTCACTTTTATTCTTAGGGAAGCCAAATCCGGTTCTGAGATTTGAATAGAAAGATTTTTAACCAGCTTACCTGCAGGAGCATGGTAACAGAAGGAAAGAGGAGAGGTGATAGGATTAAGGGCTGTGGTTATCCTCCCCATACGGCTGTCAGCCCTCAGGGCGTGGGTGTACAAGCATGGCAATGCCTGTGCACTCCCTGGCTCATGTTCATTACTTCTCCATCCTGACTTGCCCTGGTAATTCCCGGAATCTTCTGCACCAGTGCTCTGCTGGTCCATACAAAACTCCTCTTGTGAACACTTTTTACAAAACAGGTGCAGACTAAACCAAAATTCTATCAAACATATTCCCCAAAAATGTGTCTGCACTGAACATGTACATCTTATGATTGCAATCATTACCAAATATGACAGTATAACCACTACTTACATAGAATTTCTGTATTTTTAAGATATTATAAGTAACTTAGAGATGATTTAAGGAATATGGATGATATACACAGGTCATATGCAAATACTATATCACGTTACAAAGCTTTTTCAAAAGGGAAAAAAAAGAGACAAATAGGTTGGTGGGGAGATACAGGTGATAGATAGCTAGATAGACTGTATACTCCTCAGATGTCTGCAATAGCTGGAGCTATGCTAGGCTAGAGTCAGGAAACTTGATCTTGGTCTCTTGGGGGGACAACAGGAACACACTTACTGGAGCATCTCTGCTGCCTGTCAGGGATTGCATTACCAGGAGGCACACCTCAGGAGCTGGGAGCCGAAGCTGGGAACTGAATCCAGTACTTGGGCAAGGAATAGGAGCATCCTAGCCAGTACCATAACTGCTAGACCAAATGAGCCCCTCATTGCACCATTTTCTATACAGATACAAGAGTAGATTGTGGTATCCAAGGGGATCTGGAACCAATCCCTTATAGAAACAGACAGATGGCTGTACCTGCTTTCATCTTTCTGGAAACTCAGTGGAAAATGATGTCAAGGATGGGGAGGATGTCCTAAGAAAAACCGACCACTTATTTTTATGAATGGTAACTGTGCACTACCAATTTGGAATTCACTGCAAGTCTATGACATAGGAAAGATACTCTGGTGTCATACTTCAGGAACTCCAAATGCTAAGGGTGAAGTCCTGGGTGAAGACACTGCTGTTTTGTAAAACTTGCTCTCACCAGGCTTTTGTTTTCCCATTTGTAATTGGGGAATGATACTATTTCCTTCATTCCTCTTTGGAACATTCTGGTAAACGGTGAGTTTTCAATAGAGGGTAGCTCCTGCCATTTTTATCGGATGAGAGAGCCAATATTTAGTTCTTAGTCCATAAAAATGGCTATTGCGCACAATCCTTTTATTACAACTTTTTAAAGTGGTCTTGGGAGAAGCTGCAGCTCTCTCAATTATCTGGAGTGGGCATTTAAGAAGTCAGGGAAACAGGGAGTTCAGAGTGAAGTGTGTGTGTAACCACACCATTTGGAACTCATGTATATTACACTTACATACTCCTATCTGTTGAGTACCCTACTTATGGTCCTAACGCTACACTCCATGTGCTGTGCATTTCCTTGTCTCATGCCACGGGAGCCACCATAAAGCTGAGGAACCAAGGCAGCTTCAAGGGCGTATTTCCACTCCAAGAAGCAAGCGTGGTGATGATTCTGTTGTTCACTGCTTCCCAATGTGCAATGGAGGATACATGTGGTCCCCACAGCTGTAGCTGATGGTGCTATCCTTGGAAGGTGCACTTCAGGTCAGTTAGGATGGACTTTGTGACCTGAACAAGAAATCTAATGAAAAGGCGGGTCTTTATCATTCAACGCAATCAGGCTGGAATTTCCCTGTCAGTTTCCGGAACGCAGTGTGGTGATGTGCTGGGCACTGATACGTCACCCGGTCTCGCTTACCTTCTTCTGCCGAGAACACTGTTGCCACTGGGCTGAACGGCCCTTCGCCTCTGTTATTGTAAACACCCACTTTAACTTCGTAAGGGGAAAATGGCACGATGCTTTCGTTCCTGAAGACGTATCTTGGGGAATCGGGGGATGTAACCACCGTCTGGATCCAGTTGGTAACGCCAACAGGGCGGAAGGCAACAACATATCCAAACCCTTCCCCATTCTGCAGTTCTTCAGGAACTGGCTATAAAGGAAAGACATATTACATCACACTTACACGGGAGAGCATGGGGAAAGTGAGTGGAGCTACAATTCTTAGCCTTTCTTAAGAGTCATCCAAGAGGCCTGGTTCGGTAGCCTAGCAGCTAATGTCCTCGCCTTGCATGCACCAGAATCCCATGTGGGCGCCAGTTCTAATCCTGGCAACCCCACTTCCCATCCAGTTCCCTGCCTGTGGCCTTGGACAGCAGTGGAGGACAGCCCAAGGCCTTGGGACTCTATACCCGGGTTGGAGATCTAGAGGAGACTCCTGGATCCTGGCTTCAGATTGGCTTAGCTCTGCCTGTTGTGCCTCTTTGGGGAGTGAAGCAAGAGATGGAAGATATTTCTGTCTCTCCTCCTCTCTGTATATATGATTTTCCAATATAAATAAATAAATCTTTAAAAACACTTAAAAAGTGTCATCAAATAATAATGCATGTTGTATTAAGCAGCTGGGTTTTTAAAAACGAGATAAAAATCTACAAGACAGTCAAATTAGCTGATACCCTTTCACATATGCTACCTATTCCAGGATGTCTAGCTAATAACCTGGAATTGTCTTCAAAACGTTCTAAGAGCTGAATTCAAATAAAAATGACTTGACCCCTGAAGTAGATTTTGTGGTTAGAAACTGCACACTGATCATGAAGATTGCATACCACCAAGTAAGACAAAAATAATGAATAAGAAAGAAAATGGAGCTAACAGAAATGTATTAAATGCCAAGTTCTGAGTCATGTAAAAATCTGACACCGGGGCATGACCTCTCGACTTTTTGCTTTTTTGATCACCTGCTCCAAGCAACGCTGACAGTTTGAGTACCTCCTGGGTTTTGATGTGCTAATTAATTTCTCCCTGATAAAACAAAGTGAATAGCCATAAAAGCTGCAGAGGTTCAAGTAGCTGCTGGGTCAGGTGACCACACGAGTGGGATGTGCAGGGCTGCGGGAAGCATCTGAGAGCAGCACGAGAGTCGCAGCCAGGACTTCTCACCCCTGCCTTCACCAGCTGCGTGACCTGGAGCAAACTGCTGATTATTTCTGCACCTTAACGCTTTCATGTACAGAACGTCTTGTAACAAACAGACAGATACAAACAGAAAAATGTGTGCAAACGATAGAAACAGTGGTTGACACAAAGTGAATCTTAACACATTACCAGTGCTTTCTTCCTTCACCACCGGTGGCACCAGCAGTGGTGGCATCACCATTCCCACCACCACCACCAACAGCACCCACACGCCATCCCAGTGTCTGCCTCACGGGCACCAGGGCCACCCAGCAGGCTGAGTGAGGACGGAGAGGACAAGCGAGAACGAGGCATTGCCTGAACACTTACCTCCCATGTGATCACGAGTTCCGACCGGCTTCCCCCTCCTCCACTGACTTCAGAAGGAGGCACTTCAGGAACTACGTGGGGCAGGAGACAGAGATGAACTCTATTTGCATGTAGGCATACATACTGCATACATACTGTAGTATATATCAGAAAGAAGGCTCGGCATTGCCGATTTTTAGTAGAAGACATACTTAGTAGGGAACACGTGGCTATGAGGTATGTGTAGACGGCTCACGGAAATGGAATACAAAGGTCGACTTATTTTGATACAAAAATACTTTTTAAGACTGCGCACAGAAGAACCTTCCAAAAATCCATGGAAAACACAATATGCAGATCTTTGACGCTAAAACAAGCTTTTCTTTGAAGCTATATTTCCATGAATTTTCTGAACTGTTGTCACGTACGTGCGTGTGGTCTCTCGACGCTACAGAAGATACTGCTGAGAGTGTTAGTTGGGTTTTCCAAATGATGACAGATTCCCAAATCACTCAGTCAGTAAGAACAAAAGAACAAAATTCGCCAACTGGTATGAGACACGGTAGAGGAAGGCAGAGGCAGTCAGTAGTAAGGATGCTGGGACATCAGGCCAACATCACATTTAACTTCTGAACGTTCCAAGTGGAAACACAACTCTCAAAACAGTCTTGGCTTTGCACAGGTGTGACCCGAGCTCAGACCATGAATCCTGTTCCAAGCTGGTCTGGGCACGTGTCACACAAGCTGTAGATCTCTCATTCACACCAGAAACTTTGTGCCTGGAAAACCCCGGGACACCATTAGAGCGTGAATTCCAGAAAAGTAGTTTCTTGGCCTGTTCACAGGGTGGTTCCCCTATCTCAGAATGCAAATTCTCCCTACGTCGGGGTGTGTGAACAAAATGAAATTTTAAAGTCCGCAGAGGCACAGGACTCCCACCCCTCCCAACACTTGGTGCACTGTTCCGAGTAAGGCAGCATCTCCCCAAAGACTGGAACACACCCCTTACTGCGGCATGAGTTTGTAGCTTCTACAGTGGCGCAGCAGCTCTGCTTCCAGCTGCATTGCAGTTAATAATCATCATCACAGACTCTGAGAACAAAAACCTTCATCTTGTATACAGTGTGAGGCTGTGACTGCCTATACATCCCCATTCTGCATTTTCACGTTTGTAGCACTCTGGTTTATAGGAACACTTTGCTCACGTGGAAATTCTTCGCAAGAATCCCTTTTCAATTTAACACTTGAGGGACCAACAGCTTAAGCTAGCTGGCCCCAGCTTAAGCTCATTTACTGAGCTTGGTGGCAGAATGAGACTTCCTAGCCGGAGAGCTCCCAAATGTCATTATCTTCCCAATTTGTCAATGCTTGTTACAAATGAAAACAGGGCTTCTCCTGTGAGCAGGGTAACTATGTCAGATAGTAATTACAACCTTAAGTGACAAAAACATATTCAATCAACATGCACTAATGATCATTTATGATGGACCAAATTCTTGGAAATGTCACACTGCATCAGCATCACTTAGCCATGCTGCTTTTGACAAATGCCATATGGTCAGTGCTGCCATCAGAAAGGTCAGTTAATTGCAACAATGGATTATCGAAGTGAACCCCGCTGGCTTGGAGAGCAGGGCCAAGGGCAATAGAAACAGACACCCGACAAAGATCTATTAACCCATTACTCAGAAAACAAAAAACACTGACCTGCCTCTTCGGTTCTTACTTTTTCTGAGGGCAAACTGGGCTCTCCACCTCCGATTTTGTTACTGGCTACAACCCGAAATTCATATTCCACCCACGGGTTTAACTCTACGACGGTAGCCGTGCGGGTTTTCCCGTCGATGACTTCAGGCACTAGAGAGGAAGGTGGCAGGGAGATTAGGGATGGCACAGCTCAGCACAGACTTGAGATCACCACTCATGATACCTGGCTCCCCCACTACCTGTTGTGGCGGCTTGCCAACCCACGGAGAATGGGGTCCTCGCCTGGATAGAATAGGTGATCACAGGGCTGTGGTTGTCGGAACCTGCTTCCCAAGACAGCTGGGCTGTTGTATCTGTAATTTCATCTACTTTCACATTTGCTGGTGGTCCGGGGGAACCTAGAGGAGGCAACAATGCAAACAGTACATACATGTCATGTTACATACATGTCATGCTCTTACACTAGAGTGAAGAATGCGTCACGTGAGTGCTTTGACACCTCCAACAAATTCCAATTTCAAAAGCGCTTAAGGAAAAAGGCCATTTACCTGGCAATAAAATTAGCACTGTCCCCCGTCCCCCACCCAAACCAACCCTACCCCCCCATCCTGGCTTCTGTTGTTAAGATTTTAAATCTGGGTGTGAGGTAGTAATTCCAAAACTATATTATTGTGTGAGTACAGACGACACCTGCTTTGGGAGACCAGTTAGCACTCCTGTGCCTTGTTGCAGTATAAGTTCTTTGCATGTGGTGTGATGCCCTGCCCTTTCATGTGCTAATTCCCAGAGTGTTATCCAGACCTGCTGCCTACAGTGCTGCACTCTGGCCACTCAGGTTTTGGCCCAGCAGAGTTTCAGCACCCTGGACAGTAGCTGGGGTTGACACATTTTCTCAGGCATCTTGGACAACCTGATTTTTCTCTCTGAAGCAGACACATAAGCACACTCTTTTCTCATATCCAATACGATTGCTGAATTAATAACATGCTTAAAAACGCATCACCTCGGCAGCAGTTGTAGATGTTGATGATGGGGGAGAGCCCTTGGAAGGGTAGCCTTGAGATGTTAGTTTCTGAAAATGAGTATCATTAGCATCATCCCATTGGAACTGTGGAAACCCTTCGTGTCATTTGGCGGAAAGTCATATGCGTTTGTGCACTTCTTCATCATGCATTTTGTTTTCCTGCTGGAAAGAGTATCTAGTAAAGATGTGACATTAAAAATATTGGGAGGTATTAATGCCTACCTCTCACTATGAGGTCAGCAGCGGAGGAGACACTGTCCACCCCCGTTTGCACCATGCACACATACTTTCCACTGTGTTTCAGCTGAATGTTTCTGATCATTAAATCCCCAGATGAACTCTGCTGGAAAAAAAACAGATAACACTGTGATTTTTAAAAGCGCAAAGAACCACAGAGGCCATGGTCAACAACACCACTGCAAGGAAATTCATATTTAAAGAGGAAATCAAGGTGGTGCAAGGAGAGGAACGCTACAACAGAATCTATAGGGTGGGACAAAATCAAGTTAAAAAAAAAAAACCCTGCATGATTACAAAGATTTCTGTAGACAAACGAACAAGGTTTCCCCTGGGCATTTATGGTTTCAAAAATAAATGAGGGCAGAGATTACAGTCTCAGAGTCCATTTACTTCCACCAGGGCGACACTTCTTTTTATATCCACTGCTCAGCACCAGCTAAACTCTTTTCTCTGGTTCCAACCCCTCTGCAATTATCTGCCCGAGAAGAAGGAGGGAAGCATTCAGGTATCTGGTGAGAGATAAATGCGGCACGACAAGAGGATTATCACGGTTGAAACACTTTTCTCAACACATTGCAGCTTAAAAAGCCTAAAGCCATTTAATTCCTTAGTGACAGAATTTAGGGACAGCCAGTACGAACCCTTCAATAAAAAGAAATTAAAACATTCTGAAACTTTAAAATAACAGCTGTCCACGAAGACATTTGCTGCTGTCCCCCAGTGCCAATTAACAGAGCAAATGTATTTCCAAAAGCTCAACTTTAAATGGGCCTCATTTAAAAAGAATGTAAAATCGTGTTCATAAAATGACTAACTGCAGGCCAGTTTCACGCATTAGTAAATATATGGATTGAAATAAAAAATGATTTGGAAAGCAAAGTCCTTTGAACATGCCTTCCCAGTCCATGTCTGAAATGGAACCATGGAAGAAGCATTGAATGTGTATATGATTAATTAAAAGAGCTGTTCTCCCCTAGGGTTTCCCAGAAGAGAGAGATGAATTCTACTATCCTGTATTTAGGTTATTTCCCCAATATCTTTTACAGGGAAAAATGCTTCAATATTGTTTCCAACCCTTAGGATTCTTAATGGGCTATATATTCTCTGTTGGCTGTGTTGTACAGTTTTCAATGGCAATTCCTGGGTACCGGGAGAAAGCAGATGTGAGGTGATTGATGGCTACAATTAAAGGATAATCCAGAAACTGTTAAGTTTGCACATTTTACTTTCATCAAGTGAACTTTTTTCAGTCCCTCCTTCCCTCCCTCCCTCGCTCTTTCTCCTCAGGGTTATTCAGAAATTTATCCCCAGGACAAAACCTTCCATGCCTGCTGACCTTTAGAAACTCTTCAGGTTTTATGAGCACCGTATACTCCCAGGAGGGTGATTATCATTTCTATGGAAATCTCTTCTTTTCGGTGAAGAATTGTTACTCTTAAATACCATCAAGGCATCAGCATGAGGCTGTTATTTTTTCCCCCTCTATTTGCTTATTTTGAAAGCAGCTGGGTAATATATATTTTAAACACACACACACACACACATATATATGTATTTAAAACAAAACTTCTGTTATGGTGTCAGGCATTTAGATAAACCTTTTAGGCAGACTGCTAGGAACTGTCTCCCGTAGTAACAAAGAAGGGCTTGCTGTGGGGTCTGTGATTTGTGTTCCCTGTTGGTACGGGCTGAGTAAAGACAGAGGTCCCACTGCACTGGATTATGAAAAAAAAAAAAACAACAAGTCATCTTAACAGAGCTGCAGTCAGGCTCAATCTCAGGAGAAATATAATTTTTAATTATCCTTTTCCATTGCAGAGCAGAGAAAGGAAGCAATTAACTAAGACGGTTAGACAATGGGGGCTACTGATTCTCTTTTTCAGCACCAACATGAAGTGGAGTGAATGCATACATGGAAAAGAAAATTTAGCAAACAGTCAGAAGGATCTCACCTTCATTTTGGCCTCTCTCCATAAAATGCATTTGCAGACTTCCTCTTTTCCTCTTTCACTGCTTGTTTTTCTTTTCTCTCTTAACTACCGTCTTCTAACGGAGCAGTACATGGAGGTGAGATTTATCCTAACAATAAGTGCACCCAGCACCTGTCTCACTGGATTGAACGACAGACATCTCATACGTGGACCCTAGCGTGTCAACTCAAGCCAGGTCAATGAAGCACACATATGTGGGGCAAGCTATGATTTCCATTTAGAAACTTTAACAAAGGTTCGATAGAACCACCTGGCACACACTCTAGCCAGGGAAAACTAGAAAAGGTCCCAGTGAAGATGCAGACACGGGTCTTCATCTGGCAGACAGGAGTTCACGTTGGTGCAATTACCCTGTAGAACTGTTTGTACATATGTTACGGAGACAAGAAACACACATAATCCATGACCTGAGAACTCTACTCCCATGTAAATACTCTACGGATGTGCATATATGTGTCCTGCAAGAGTCAAGAATACTTGCAGAAGCACCGTTTATGATACCTAAAAAATGCAGACAACCAGATGTCCACGCAGTAAGGTAGATAAATAAGCAGTGGAATATTCATTTAATGAAACAGTATGAAGCCATCAAAATGAATGAACTATATGCATATACATGTGTGTGTCAGTCTCGAAGACACAGATGATATAAACCACATAGAAGATATATGATACTAATATATCATATGAAATGTCTAGACAGGGTCATCTTCATGATTTGTGCATTTCACTTAGATTATAAACCAAGGCTATCAAAACGTAGCCATGGCTACATACAACTCCACTTGTAAAGACTCAGCTTTCAGTAAGCTGCAGTAGTCAAAGAACATGACTGTCATTCTAAGCCCGAATTCATTTCACAAAAAATAGATTTAAATATAATTCAACCAAATGTGCTATACATTTTCATACCTTAAATTTTCATATCAAGATGCACCTGACTAGTCCCAGATGATTAAAACATTATTTTAAAAGACTAGGAAGTACCATAAAACAATTCTTGTTTTATAAAACCTAGCGTTGTTGTCCTCATCAGTTTCTCATTATGAGTGGTCACACACATGATTACGGAAAAGCTAAAACATCAGAAAGAGGGGCTGGTTTCTCTGAGATGTGCGCAATTAAAGGTGGATTGAGGACGAAAAGAGCCAAACCCAAGCATCGCAAGACCTTGTGGTCTTAGTTGACACATGATCTCCAAAGTCCTGAAAAGCAAAACCATGAAAATGGGAGGGTGATGTGGTGTGTGTGTATGTGTGTGTGTGTGTATGTGAGAGAGAGAGAGAGAGAGAGAGAGAAAGAGAGATTATTCTGGGCAAAGATGAGATAGTTGTACAACTGACCTTTGCAACTATGAAGTTTTCTATCCCTGTGCCAAGATGAGGATGCAGCAGATGACAACTCAGAGAAAGAAACGGCTCCGCGATGTTGGGACCGGAGGTCAGGGGCTTAGGCCAACGGCACATCAGTCCCCAGAAAACTCAACACTTACTATCAGTCTTCATGTTCATATTTGCATCCTAACGACAGCAGAGTTCTTTTTTATTTTTGGCCTTTTTAAAAAAAAAAGCTATGCTAATAGTACTGTCTTATTTATTCGCTCACCTAATCATGTAGGGTTTTTCCTCCTAAAAAAGAAGCCTTTGTTTCCAGAAATTGTTGTCAATATTAAAGTAAGTTGTTTATACCCCAATTCTCTTTGAAACGAAGGGAAAATCTAACACGTAGCAAATTAAATGGGAGAACTTACTAAGGTTTCCCTTGTATTTTCTCAGGTTGTGACACTAATGGAATTTTTCGATGTAATTTAAAACCCACTCTGCACTGAAAGAAAAGCCCTACGTGTGGTCAGTTACACCAGGTGAAGACAACGCAGCAAAGAGGTCTTCAGTCATCCCGGGTAAGCTGGACGTGCATGTGACTCACGAATGTGACTATGCAATGACTATCCCTACCGTGCGCTAGCCATCAAGGCATGCAATCAACTTTGGAGTTAAGACAGGCTCTTAGACATTGCAAATACAGCATGAACTTTGAGTGTAACCAATGATCAGCAGAAACGAATTCCCTAGCAAGCACTCTCCAGGGAAATGCTGCTGCCCCACTGCCAAGAAGCATAATTTTCCAGTTTAAGGGGCAAAAAAAGGATCTTTTTGATGGCGATTTGGAAGGCAAGGTGAAAGGGTCGGCCCTTCTCATTTTTATCACTTTACACAGCCTGTGAGTGCAACGCTTCCCATATGAATCACATACCCCTACCCTGGCTTGCCTTCCAAATCATGTCACTGCATGGAAATCATACCCGAGGGTCTTGAAAAACAGGCTGGCCTCTCAGTTCCTGCTGGACTCCGGTTGGTGCGGCCTTTTGTTGTGAAGGTCCCAGGAAGAACTGACAGTGACAACAACCACTCCTTGCATCTCTGACCCAGCATATGAAACCCTGGTCCCCTCCCAGCTCCAAGGTCATTTCGTTGCAAATGTACTCACCCAAGACCCCCCCCCCAAAAGACCCGGCAGCCACTGAAACATGAAATCAAACCTTCGTGTTGTAAACAGTTCTAATTTTTCTGACTGATTAACAATTTCAACTGTCATTTGCTTGTCTGAACAAGTGTTCCTGGAGGCGCTTAAGATGCAATGTGTTAATAGCAAAATTTGTTCAACTTTCTTCGGTACCAGTAAGCCAGGAATAATTGTTCCATTACAGGATTTAGAATCCCAGTGTGCCCCATCACCAGTGTTTTGAAAGAGTGACACATTCAAGAGTGACACAGAAAAGCCTGATGGAAGGCACATTTGTGCATGTTTTGGGTTGTGTAAAATACCCACTTTTTCAGCTCTTTGGTTTCCAAATCAAGCTGACATAAATAAGCAGGTATTTTAGCTTTTTCTGAGTGTGTGCTCTGTGGATAGACGTTCTCCCTGGAAACTCATGATGTCAGAATAACTTGGGTTTTGCTCCTCGGAGAATCTTAAACCAGTATTCTTTACAAATCAGTCATCAGAGTTCTGGTTCCAATATGCTATTATTTACAAAGCTGATTGGCTTTATTTAACTTAATATAGAAGTCTATGTGGAAATAGTATATTTTTTCCTTAACTAGAAATATACTCACTAAAACAGGTTACTGAACACAGCAAGGCAAATGAACACTTCCTTGCTGCACAATTCTGAAACATGAAACAATGAGACCCTACTCTGTTGTCCCACAAGGAGATCAGCAGGTACCCACCACCATTAACGACAAATCTAACACCATATGTAACCATTCTCCTTTTTTAATCTAAATGACCAAAAAAAAAAAAAAAGAGAGAGCAAACAGAATGGATCTCTCATTCTGTGTGATATTATTTAATACCGCCTGTTGAGGGCCATGGTTTGTGTTTTTGAAAAACACTGTTTTTGATGAATTCATTAGTTCTCAATGCTGGCTGTAGTGTAAACTCACCTGGGGAATCTTTTTTTTAAAAAAAAATATCAGGAATGCCTGGGCCACATCCCAGAACAATTAAATCAGAATGAACTCGAAAGAAGAGAGCCTCTGGGTGCTTCTAATGAGCAGGTAGGGTCAAAAATCATGAAACCTCCTGGGATTCTAAAGCCCTTCATCTCTGCTCCTCTTCGAAATAAAAAGGCCTAAGATAATTGCTCAGATCTCTCCTAACTTCCAAATGTTGCTGCCAATAAATGCACAATCATCCAGTAGGGATGGTGCATGCTGGGCTGAGAAGCTGAGGAAAGTGTACCCACACGTTCTCATCTCTAAAGGCAGGTAGGTGAGAAAGCTAGTATTTGTGAAACACACAGTGTATATCAAGCATGTTTGATCCTGCCTAGGTCTGCTCATGGGCATTTTACAGCCAATAGTCAATGAAATGATTCAATAGGGTGATCCATTTGCATAGAAACAGACAGAAATCTGCTATCCATCAATCCGAATCAGATTCTAAGATTCCTCTTGATTGATGTGACAATTTCTGCACAGAAGGGAAGTTTTTTCAAGTTTACTTTGAGGAACAATTTAATTCCTGGGTTATATTCCATTATCTTTTGTCTTAACCCCTACAGTGAAGGGATAAAATACGTTAAGACGTGCTGCACACAGAAGGCTATGCTAGCACACAAGAGAAAAGGACTTGATGGACACAGAGGAATAAATAGTCCCTGTTTCCAGGAAATTTGATATCAGGTGGGAGGAAATGACTTAGGTTTACTTGTCACATCAATTACTGCTACTGTGTAATACATTTTCTCCAAACTTTATTTAAATAAAAATATCATACATTCTGCTCAAGTAGGAGCAAGAATCTGTGGAAATGGCCCATTGCTGCTGCACAGCCACTAAGCAAGTGGGCTCTGAGTAGACACCGGCCCGTCAGTGCCATGCCTGGCAGGCTGGCAGTTCTGCAGCGCTGTGAGCTGAGAGCCCCATTCCCCTTGAGACCAGTCACACGGTCTGCTCTGGTGCCCTCATGCCATAGTGCTGGCTTCCAAGAGCTGCTGTGTCCCCAGAACAAAGCCGAAGTGTACGGATTCTCACGAGCCAAGTCTCAGCACTCAGCACCATGTCCCAGCTCCTCACTGACCAGGACAATCATAACAGTCTCCTAGGCTTCCAGAGAAGAAAGGGTTTTGACCACTGGATGGGATGACATGTCAACGCTGGCCAGGACATGTGGCAGCCATCACTGAAAAACCTAACCTAGCACACCCCTCCAGATCCAATGCACCTGCCACGTTGCCTGGGCCTTCCATATCCGATTCAGCTGGGACACAGAAAGTGGTCTCTCTCCCTCATTTTTTGGGGTTTTCTTATAAAGTGAGCTGAGAGAAGGATAAGAGCGAACGTGTGCTGTTTACTCAGCAAGATTCATCCTTGCAGGCTGTTTGAGCTGACTGTGCCAAGAACTCAAAATAGGTCAAGAAAAAAAAAAAGCAAACCTTGACTAGACACCTTCCCTTTTATGTTAATCTCCTGTGTGTAGATCCAGGGAGAAGACTGCCTGGGGCTTGCAGAGAATAAAATTATACCCTTTCCTGGGAGAGTCGCTCCCAAAGAGATCACACTTTTTTTTTTTCTATTACAATTGCAGATCAATGTATTCCAACAGTTTTCCTCATACATCTGAAGTGTGGATTCTCTCAGCTCAAAGTCATGGTGAAAAAAGATCAGGAATAAAAAAAAGATGAGGTTCAATATCAAATGTGACTAGCAATCGTCTCTTATCTTGATAAAAGAGTAATCTAACATGTTAAATTCTGTTTCAGAAAAAAAAGATTCATAAAAACCAGAATTCTTTCTATAATAAGAGTTTTGAAAAAACTACCCCACTTCAAGGTCCTGACCTCTAAGTCTAAATTTTCACAAAGTGAGCCCGGTGGCGTGGCCTAGCAGCGAAAGTCCTCGCCTTGAACGCCCCGGGATCCCATATGGGCGCCGGTTCTAATCCCAGCAGCTCCACTTCCCATCCAGCTCCTTGCTTGTGGCCTGGGAAAGCAGTCGAGGATGGCCCGAATCTTTGGGACCCTGCACCTGTTTGGGAGACCCGAAAGAGGTTCCTGGTTCCTGGCTTTGAATCGGCGCAGCATCAGCCGTTGCAGTCACTTGGCGAGTGAATCATCTGGTGGAAGATCTTCCTCTCTGTCTCTCTTCCTCTCTGTATATCTGACTTTGTAATGAAAATAAATAAATCTTTAAAAAATAAAATAAATGAAATAAAATTTCACAAAGTACCTCAATTAAACCATGACTATAGCACTTTATTGTTCATGTTCCTATCAATTATATGGTACAACTAAATATTACATCCTGCAAAGCAGTGTGGTTTTCTTTGGAGCAGGAAAGCCCAACCAGCATGAACAACTAATAGCTCAATGATAAGAAAGCCGGTCACTCAATTTAAAACACGGGCGAGTCAGTCTGACTTTTGGATACTGCTGGTAAGGAGTGCAGATGCTGTTACTCTGTCTTAACGGTGAGGCAAAGGCTAAACATGTTCAAATCACTGACTCTTCTGGATCTGGTAGAGAGGTGAGGGCACAGGCTCAACTGCAGACAACAGCAGACACAGAGAATCACGAGTTACTGCAACCCAGAGTTCTAAGGGAACTAGGGCCAAGTAGGAAAATCCAAACTTGATAGCTGGAGGATCAGAAGATGCTTCTGAGAGCTAAAGCTTGGGGGACCTTCAAAGGCAGGCCCCACTAACT